CAATCCCCTCCGGACGCTTTGAACCTTTGTAGTTACGTACAATCCGGTGACCATCCCAATGATGTCCATCTGGAATAATTTCACCTTTGGGGGTCAGTTTGAGATCTGGAAATACGGGCGCTTCGGGTGCATCAGGCTCGACATCGCTGTCAGCTGGTAGAGGCGTACCTGGCTCGTATTCATACTCATCTTGCGGTGGATGCAAACTGGACTCAAGAGGCACAGCTTTGGGTGTCTGCGGAATGACCTGGTCCTCGAGGCGATCGGCTTTGGGTGCTTTCGAGTCGATCAGAGCTTTCAAAGGAAAGATGAAACCCTCGGATGGCAATTCCAACCTCTTTGTTCTTTGGATTGTCAGTGCACCCCAGTTGACATGATAATCTGCGGCTTCCAACTTGGCAACTAAGTATTCACCCTTCCAATCATGACCTGGTTGGATGTAATACCCAAGGAAAATTCCTTCATTTGCTGTTGGGGAGAGCTTACCTGATGTGTTATCCAACCTCTTGGGGTTATTCCAGAACAACACTTTGGCACCAAATGGAATGTGCATTGCAGGGAACTCTTCACCAAACCTGAGTTGCCATGGGGAATCACTGCCGTCAAGCTGGGGGCTTGCATTGATCGCGGTCGCATGATGCTGCATGGCCAATGGCCACATCTTCAAAGGAAGTCCTGATTGCAACAAGTTGCTCCGGGCACCTTCCAACATCTGACGAACTTCGCGCTCAGCAAAAGACTTTGATGAATCTACGTATTCAATGGAAGTTTGGTGTCTGTAACCCAAATCCTTGATGGCCCTGATCAATTCTGGGGAATTGTCAGTGTACACAACTTGAACATCATCCTTTGATCCAATGAAGTGATTCAAACCATCAACACAGCTTTGTGAGTCCTTGGACTGGCTAGGGTAGACATACCGATATTGGGTGTGCAGATCTTTCAACACCAACGCAACTTGCTCCCCCCTGAAACCCTCTTCTACATTTTTCTTGATGATGACATGATCCCCAATGATGTGGTCACCAAACACTTCAGTTTCGATTCTCTTCTGACCACCCTTCTTTCGTGCCTGAGGTGCCATCATCCTTGCTCGTTGGCAAGTTCTGCAAAAGGGGTTCTTGGGGAAATGCGTGTACTGATGTTGGGTACTTGCAGCTTCAGCCAACAGATCCTCAGTCTTGCGGCTTCGGATGTACTCCTGCTGAGCGTCATCCTCCACCAACTCATCCAACTGCTCTTCATCTTGGGCTTCGTCCCGCTTGGCTTTTGAGCTCGACCGTGAGGTCGGCATTGCAAACAACTTTTTGAGGTGCTTATCCTTTTGAAATTGATCTTTGGGATAAACCTTGCAACTATCATCCAAGATTGGGACATGACCTTCGATCTTGAGCTGGACGACCTTGTCATCTGGACGGACTAGGATTGGTTTGCCATTTGCAGGCCATACGAAACTGTAACCCTGATCTACACATCTCGTTCCTACAGAGAGCACAGCTGGGGTATGATCAAGCACATACGGATGCACGGGATCTGGCAATGCGGACAACTTGACATGAGCAACTTCATTTGCCTCGGTCGAACCATTGGCTGTGACTAAGGAAATCGGATGCTCGGCTGCACGGCAGTTCTTGGCACTTACGTCCCTCAGCATTCCTTTGGACACAAGATCGGATTCACTACCTGAGTCAACGAGCCAACTAACGCCGGCCTTTGGCGCAGCTGTGGCAATTGACGGGAAACGACCAATGTCTTTAAGGGCTTTGGGACCGCTGATGAACCTGCACTCTTTGCATGTGACGTCGCGTGTGTCCTCATCCCAACAACAAAACCCACAACTTGGTGCAACATCTGAATCATGAAGTTTCACAGTTTCTTGGAGCTGTCTTGCACGAACCTGAGCTTCATGCTGTTCAACCTTTGATGAAACTGGAACATCTTCAGCTGTCTTGTACACCTTAGTGAACTCTCTTGGACGGTGCTTGACTGGGACTTGACGACCGACTGCCTTCACCTCGATCACATGTGGGGCCTTTCGGAATCTAAGACGCTTCATGCTGACATTTGCCTCATCAGAGCACGAAGTTGCCTTCGGCTGTTTTCGGACGATGCATGCAAACTTCTGGATCAGACATGGAGCGGCTGTGGAATCCTTGCCCTTCTTCTTGGGAGCGGGTGAATTGGCCCTTTTGGTGTCTTTGGTGGCGGCAGCGGCTTTGTCATCATGTTTATAAAAACATTTGTCACCACGTCTGCACTTTCCCTGGGCATGATAGATGCATGGGGTTTTAGCCATTTCTTCTTTAGACATCTTCTTCCCCTTATCATCCTTATTGCCCCTTGATGGTGAACGTGTTTTGGTTCTTCTGGGTGATTGAGTTCGAGATTTATCATCTTTGACATGCTTGAATGGACACTTCTTCCCCTTATCACAGGTACCCTTTTGGAACTTATAGCAAATCTTGTCACCTTTGCCACCTCGTTCCTGCGATCTACCGCGACTTGGAGAGCCCTTTCGGCCGCCGCGACCATCGCCTTTGGCGGGTGCGGCCTTTGTGTCCTTAATCCCAGCCTTGTTCTTCTCCGCAATGCGGTTCCTGTTCTCCCTCAATCGTTCACGATCGATCAAGTTCTTCATGGATTGGTGAAGAAAACTGTAAGACTTTTCATGGGATTTCTCATGAGCACGGTCAAACACCTCGATGTCATATTTCAGCAACTGACTTGGTCGGATCTGCCTCAACAAGATGTCCCTTAACACAGCATCATCAGGGGTGACAGCCATGCCAGCTAGGGTAGCATCCCATTTGTTGATGAATCTTCGGAGATCCTGGACAGTATCGCCTACTTTGACAACACCCAAAAGATCTTCTACTCTGTAAAGGCTACCTGCTTCTTCTGATGTCTTGAAGTAGTCCTCAAACATAAGCAGAACATATCTTCCCCTGACCTGGATGCCTTTTCGGGATTGCTGCTCCTTGAAATTCAAGATCCTAGTTGCGAGGTCCCCTCCGGCTGAGCGCGTGAGCGCTGCTGATAACTTTGTATCCAGCGTAAGGAACTTTCCAGGATCTTGGAGTTTCTTCTCCAACTGCTCTCTGGTGCACTCTTGATCGTACACCTCGTTGAGCCAGAGCCACGCCTCATCCGGGCGATCTGAACAGCTCTTCACTTCATCCCTGACGTGATTCTTCCAAGTTCTATATGACTCCGGAGCGGGCATGTTGTTCAGCTTGATGAGTTCAGCCTCCTTAGTTTTTGGCTTATCCTTTTCTTCCCTTTGGGTTAAGGCTTTCACCAATTCAATAAGATCTGAGGGACCCATAACTTGCTGTTGCTTGGTTGCGCTCTTAGGAGATTCATTTGGGGGAGTTTTGATAGCTTCAGTGGGAGTGAAAAACCCTGACTGCGTTGGCAATTGGGGCTGGTCGTTGCCGACAGCCGGCTTTTGCTTGGGACTGCCACCTTTGAGCAGCTCATCCAGCTTGGCCTTTGCTTCCTGCGCCAACACTGCAGGCGTCTTAAACTCAAGAATCGGCTCATCACTGCCTCTGGCAGCCTGTGCATCGGATGCTTTGGGAGTGGCAATATTGAAGTGGGGCACGCTAGTGGTAGCGGCCGGCTCGGCGTTCTGGACGGATGCTTTCGGAACGGAGGCATGCTGCGCTTTGGCAACATGCTTTAACTGCTCCTGAAGATCATCGATTTGGTCCTGAAGGCTAAGGTTCTGAGCCGCTGCCTCGTTGATCTTGTCGGCCATCTCCTTCTTGTAGTTCTCAAACTCAGTCCTCAAACTGATGAACCTGGCCTGATCAATTGCAGCCTGATCTTCATATTGCTTCTTTGTGGCAGCTATGGCATTCTTTGCATGTTCAACTGTCTGTGCATAGGAAGCTTCGAATTCACTAGTGATACGTTTTCTTTCCTCTGCAATTTTCTGATCATGCTTTGTGTTTGCCTCTGCCTTTACATCCTCTATTCTTTTGTCATGCGATGCCTGAGCCTGATTCAACCTGACCTCCATCTCGTCGCCTCGTTTCCTCTCCTCGTTGAGGGCACTAATGGCATTACCTTCAACCTCCTGCAGCCTTTGCTCATACTCCTGCTCCTGCATTACGAGTCTACTTGACCATTCGTTTCGAATTGAGTCAACTACTCCATGCATTATCTGAAGGTGCCTCTGTTCAGCTTCCCTCATGACTTGCAGGGTATTCCCACTAGTAATCTGGGACAGGTTGTTTTGTATGAAGGTAAAGTACGCAACAACGGGTTGGAACATTGTTTCGTCATCCATCGGCTCGGGGTTGCCCCCGGCCACATTGGGCACAGCGACAGCCGATGGACCTGACCCTGGAACGGCGAGAGGATGGTCAATTGGGGTCCCCATAGCAAAGTAGTGAGACTACGGCTGATAACCTGTATTTTACCAGGTCAACCGACAATGGGGTGAAATACTAAGCTAACACCGTTAAGCACTCAGCTCTTTTGAACCAACGCTATCGGGCAGATCGATGATATATACAATACATGGTTTTACTGCAGGAGTTTTTACACCAAAAATATTATTGATGTGAGGTAGCCAAATATTAGATGTAGATACATAGTAACAGAATGAATTAACACTATCATTAGTATTATCTATTGTGTTTAGCTATTGATGATTATCCCACAGCTATTAGTGTTTAGCTATATTATGAAATCATTATATCATCCCATAGCTCTTAGTGTTGATTCATTGCGTTACTATGAGATATTAATTCATAACTATAAGTAATTAATATATTCAACATTCATTCACTATCATTATTAAACACCAAATATATGGGACATAATAGTTTCTAGATATAATATTAATGCTTACCCTCTGATAAACAAACAAAAAGCTATTGAAAATGGCCATAGAAATCGTTGATTTACCCATTAAAAATGGTGATTTTCCATAGTTATGGGACAGTTAACCAGAGGGTATAGTGAATTCACCCCACTTTCAGTCCCCCGACGAGTTCGTTGGCCCGATCGGTGATGGCCAGCCGTAGAATGAACTGGGCAGAAGCAGCGGGGGAGCTGCCTAGTGGCCTGACCGCTTGGTCATCCGTTAGGTAAATATGAAACACTGTATCAATGGGAATTTCAGGATCCTAAAATGGAGGTACTGTGCCATATAAGGCCATATTTTCTGGGGATATCCCCTTACATAGGCCTTATATATGGTAGGTACCTCCAATTTAGGATCCTGGAATGGCCATTGACTGTAGATACCGGTAATGGGATTATAAGCGGATAAATCATATACCAACTGGTGCACAATTTCGCAACCATCCACAGTCTGGTGCACAATTTTGCAACCATCCACAGTCTGGTGCACAATTTCGCAACCATCCACAGTATGAACACGTGGAGAATTTTTGACCTTTTTAGATGTTTTTTTCCTGTTCATATAGGCATATAACGGTATATGAAATTAGATTAAAATAGCATATGGATGTCTATGCATATTAGGAACCTATTACTACTGTGGATGGAAGAAAAATCTGCACCACTTTGGATGACGGAAACCCTCTAGATAATGGGATAAACCACCTATCAACTGATGCAGGATATCTTCCATCCACAGTATGAACATGTGGAGAATGACTTTAGAAAGACTTTTCGTTAAACTATGAAAATGATGTTTTTTTGACCTATGAAAAGTTGACTATAGAAAATGTGACTAAGAAAAGGCTGTTTTTGACCAAAATCATGTGTGTTTTGACATGGTGGAGAAATTTGACTCTTGAAAAGTTCTTGTCAAATTTCTAGTTGGTATAAAAACATTTTTTTCTTCTGGTGGGTTTTCGATTTTGATTGAAATGTTGGCGGAAAATGCAGGGTTTTTATACCCCCAAAGCGACCGGGGGGAACACCAAATATTGGGCCATCGTACCTGGAGTTCCGGCTACTCCATGGGACATCTTGAAACTAGCAAAATGGCCAATGGGTAGATAGATAGACAGACAGACAGACAGAATAGATCAGATTAGATCCGATTTAGATTAGATTAGATTTAGATGAATGGATGAACAAACAGATAGATGGATTGGATTAGAGAGGTAGATAGGTAGATAGGTATGTAGGTAGATAGGTAGATAGGTAGATAGGCTAGGTAGATAGGCAGATACAGATTCAGATAGACATACATAAATTCAGACAGATCCGTATAGATTCAGATAGATTAAGATAGATTCATATACATGCAATTATATCACCACAGAATATAAAATAATGCTTAGTTACAAACTCCAATAAGTTAGTTATGTATATAAAACCGATAAGCCTGTTGGCGAGCTACATCCTAAGCTGCATGTTTATAGACCGGCAAAATTGTTATCGTTCATTATGAACCCCTATTACATATCCCCATATACATTCTATAATATAATAGATATACATATACAGATCCTCCTGTAATCGAAAATGGCGATGAAACATTCCCTATACATAGAGGTTTTCACATGGGCCAATCATCGAATTAAATGATACTTTCCCTCCAGCAATGTTTGATTACGACAGGGAAACTATCACCATTACAATCCTTTTTGTTGGCAAGTTGTCGATGTTTAAATACCATACATATTATTAAAAAATTGCAGTATACTGGCAACACCGGAAATAACCCCATCGTAATACAATAGAATCCATTTTATTATTTTTTTGACCCAAGCACATACATTTCATGAATTTCCCAGTGCCATGTTTGATTACCAAAGGGTACCCAGTGTAGCCCTAACAAAAGGTCAATCAGATAAATAGATATATAATATGGATATACCCATTATAAATGAATGTTTATACTCAAATATCATCACAATATAGCACCATATATTCTACAGTCTACATATATATATATATATTACATGGATGTTTCCAATCCATGGGGGCACCTCCAGATAATCCATTTTAATAAGATTTCCATGAAATAAACCATCCAGCTGTTGGGGTACCCCCATCACTGTTTACAGTGAGATCGTGATCAGTGATGTATCCATTACATCAGCACAAGGTGGTGCCCCCCAGTGATGTTTGTTGATTTAAAATCCCATTAACTATATATATATATATCTACCGAAGTCTTAGTTATTAGAGTTATAAACCAGTTTAGCTATCTTGGGGGACCCATCCTGTAGATTCCCACTCATATTCCATTAATATATATTAATATCAATATAACATATTAATATATATTATATATAAATATGAACATATGTTAATATCAACACTTCCTACCACACAGTTGTGCAGTTCTACATTCCGCCCAACAGAGAGTTCAGGCTGCTGTGTAATTTTACAACATATATATATAATACATGGAGGTTTCCAATCCATGGGGGTACCCCCATTTTTCATCCATTTTAATAGAATCTTCAATTATATACCATCCAGCTATTGGGGTACCCCCCCCAATTTTAGGAAACCTCCATATACATATATATATATATACATATATGTATAAATTATATATATAAAGCTCGTATAACCCAAGGCCCAGATCGAGCTTCCAGGCAACTGCCACCTCCGTAGGATAGTCCTGATCCAGATCCGATCGAGAAACCAACCATTTTAATCATCGATAAACGGGATTAATAAAGGGTACATGGGATATATAATGGGAGTCATTGGATATATAAATAATGGTTGATACAACTTTGGATATCTGGCCATTTAGTTCGTTGATTTACCCATTAAAAACGGTGACTGTCCAGTTCACCATGTTAGCTTACCAGAGGGTAACCATCTATAAATGGGGATATCTTGGAGATGTAATGGGATTAACCGACCATTTAACGAGTCCAGCTATCTTCAAAAACTTTAATCCCATGGTTAAATGGTTAACCAGTTAAATGGTCAATTCATTATATCCCATCCCCACTATATAAAGTTTTTGAATATAGTTGAATATACCCTCTGGTAAATTAACATAGCTATAGAAAATCACCATCTTTAATAGGTAAAACACTACACATGTGCAATGTTCAATAGCAAACTGGAAAAAAATACGAGAGGGTAGGCTTTGAGATGGGAATTTCACCCATGTCGACATGTCTGCTTTTAATCATCAAAGATGATGGGATTGATGAGACTAGTTCTGGGCTTGTACTATCCAGCTTAAAGTGATTGAAATGGGGATGTATGCTTTATTTATAAGGGGTTTGACCATCAAACAATGGGCATACAAAAATGCAAGTAAAACTGCTGGGAAGTTCATGTTTAACCAGAAATATGGCGACAAAGATGCGATACTATCGAGCACATGACCATCCCATTTGCCAACAGAAAGGGGGTCATGGTAGCATCATCCCAGTCATACAACGTGGTGCCCCAGTTCGGAATCGCTAAGTTGGTGCGTGCTGGTAACTCCAATTTTACTATGGTTTATGGTTGATATATCTATACCATTCCTATGGTTTTTAAACCAACGTTCCATCACTGGTGGGGCACCACCTTGTAGGGGCATACCCAATTCATGAAACTCGAGTGGGGGATCGTTGGGTTTACCACACTATTATACTGATTTACCCTCTAGTACCAGTAATTTGTTATATAGCTATGTAGAATGGCGGAAAACGACCCATGAAAATAGAACTATAACAAATGGTGATTTTCCATAACAAGCTGTTTAATTACCAGAGAGTAGTAGAAAATACGTCGGCAATACCGTTGACAATCATATGTTGATAATTGATATAACTATAAGGTATAAGTAGACAAGTATATTATTCTGATTTTTTGAAAGGTATAAAACATATACCTACCATTTTCCTTTCTCATCTGCAGTAGAAAGTAGTGGAAAATACTGATTCATGGCAACCGAAAATATGGACTTATGGATTCGAGAAGAAAAGTACTAGACTATGGCAACCAAAAAAACTACTGAGTTATGAATCTTCATGGAGTCTTAATGGATTGATTTAAGCGAAACAGCTGCCGGAAATATTGTGTTTTTCGCTTTCAAACGTGGAAGATAAATCGAACAGATATCCTGGAAATAAGATTGAGATACCCTCTGGCAAACTGTCCCATAACTATGGAAAATCACCATTTTTAATGGGAAAATCCACTATAACTGGCCATTTTCAATAGCTATGTTAAATTACCAGAGGGTAGATTGAGGGTGTGAAGCCAAAAAACATTAAGAGATCCGTTTCAGGATGAATGGCAGATTATCGTGAAGACGCTAACGTCCAAATATTGGAAGTTACCGTAATCTGTATACATACCCTCTGGTAATTTGGTACATAGCTATTGAAAATGGCCCGCTTTGAAATAGTTGATGAATACCCATTAATAGCATGCTGGATCTTTCCAGTTCGCAAACTGTGACAGTTTATCAGAGGCTAAAGCGGCGGAATGCTTGGTGGTTCCTACCTCCCAATGCGGCTGGTGACACGATGATTTCTGGTTGGATCATGTTACCCCAGTGACATTCTTCAACGTTGCTCAATTTTTACCGGGACAATCTCCATGCTATCCCCATTTCGAGGCAAATCATGGGAAATCCCCAGCAAAATGCCCTGTAATCAAACATAGAAATTGCAACTGCCCCATTTATCCTTGATTTGCCCATGAAAATGCTATTGTCCATTCGAAAATCTCTATTTATCTATCCCCATAGAAATCATAGAAATCATTGTAAATCATGGTAAATCCCCATGATTGCCCATGAAAATCTCTATTTTCAATGGCCATTTCAGGAACCTAAATTGGAGGTACCTACCATGTATAAGGCCTATGTAAGGCCTATATGTAAGGGGATATACCCAAAAAATATGGCCTTATATGGTACAGTACCTCCATTTTAGGATCCTGAAATTCCCATTGATATTTTGTTCGGTGGATTTCAAGGATTTCCCAACCAGACCTTTCATTTTTGCAGGGTACGACTGCCCACTGAGCTGCCGAACATAAAGCTGCAGAAAGACGCCGCCGTTGGTCCAAATTTGAAGCAAGCCCTGTCGAACTGCCTCACGTGGTGAATTTTGGAACTGGAACATTTAGTGGTTTATAATTTATAATCCATATATAAAACAGATATGATTTTAGATAATCCAGTTTATAAAAATATAGGGGATGGTCCATTTTATGTATATATTGTCTATATAAGTAACCGGGGGTATAACCCATTTACTAAGTGGGATGCACCCCCAAGTAACCACCGAAATAGAGTTTGGCTGTTTGGCCTCACCAGCCCCTTTGGGGACCAGAGGAAATAGAAGGACCCCTTGTCACAAACAGCTTATTCATTCCTGGTTGGTGGTTTCAACCCCTCTGAAAAATATGAAAGTCAATGGGAAGGATTATCCCATATATTTTGGAACATAAAAAATGTTTGAAACCACCAACCAGATTCACTTGTGGGCAAGATCCATGACTTGCCAATGCACAAAATGAAGCACCAATGGAGCCACAAACTCCTACGCCCAGTGAGGATTCACCGAAGAATGTCTAGGTCGTTGGTCTAGGTCATTAGCTGCCTGTTTAACTGTTGGAAACCATCATGTTGCGCCAATTGCCATTCATAAACTACAAGGTGGTGCCCCCCCAGTTATAAGTTGGCTTATGAACCATAGTAATCCATAGTAAGTATAAGTATAGACATATCAACCATAGACCATAGTAAAATTGGAGTTACCATAGCACCAACTTAGCTAAGTATGGTAAGCACCACCTTGTAGGACATGTTTATTCCAAATTATCATCCAAAAGATTAGCGTGGTTGAGCCATGCCTCTTTTAGAGGTTGGTACCCTCTGGTAAACTGTCCCATAACTAAAGAAAATCACAATTTTTAATGGGGATTCATCAATGATTTCAATGGCTATTTTCAATAGCTATGTTAAATTACCAGAGGGCATCCCCATATATTCCCATGATTTTCCCATAAAACTATATAAAACCGCCATTTTCAATAGCTTTTTGTATGTTTACCATCATCTCAAGTCTCAAAGATTGTCTCCAGATGTCTCCAGATGGCAGTTTCTGAAAATGGGGAATCCCCAGTCGTCACCATGACTTTCGATACGAAGTCATGCGAAGCTGGTTGGTCATCCAGGACGACTGGATGGTGTGGGGGTACCCCCATGACAAAACTGAAACCTCCGATATCAAATGATTACAATATCCCATGGTATCCCTATTACATCCCATTCAATTCCATAAAACCAGCATCTTTATCATTGTTCAATTGACATCTTTGAAAAGGACCAGCATCCCTATTAATGATATCACATTAAATTCCATTCAACCACCATCTCCTTCACGACCAACCAGCGATGTTCCTCTCGAAAGAAGGTCGTGGCCGCTCCCTCGTTGCCTCACCAGATAAATTGGGCACAAGGGCACCCCATTAGATCCAGGGCCCCATAGGGGCCCTATGGGGGATTATGTATTACCCTCTGGTAAACTAACATAGCTATTGAAAATGGCCATTTATATTGAGTTTTACCATTAAAAATGGTGATTTTCCATAGTTATGTTAGTTTACCAGAGGGTAATACTGTGGATGGTTGCGAAGAAATCCTGCACCAGTTTTTATCGGTGGTTTATCCATGTCTATCCCATTATTTATTTTTATTTATAGGGTTTCTACCATCCGAGGTGCAGGATTTCGCAACCATCCACAGTAGGATATATAGTAGGGGAAAACGATGTATCTACCAGTTTATCAATGATCTGTAACTAGTAGTTTCTGTTTTGTGGTGATAACCGTTAACTATTCAAATTTGTGATAATCTTGCATGGAGGATTACTGTAATGCGTCAACGGCTCATCGCACATCTAAAAAATAGGTGTGCTTGAGGAAACGTCTACAGGAAGCACAGAAACGTTCCCTCATTCAATTCTAACAATAGATCCCTTTTGGAGATTGTTTTTCTTGTAAACTTGGCTTCAGCTCCAATCGATTTTCAGGGAGCCATGTTTTTTTTCATGATGGGTATCATCGACACGGTTTTTCAGCGACAAATTTACGGATCATCGACAAACTTCTTTGAAGATCCAAATTCGGGGCATCCAAGTTTTACAAAAGCTACAGTTATTTGACAGCCATCACAACCCATCATTGGATCATGAAGCCGTGACAAACTTTAGGACCCAAAAGCGCTGGGTCACACCGTTGAGATCCCATTGATCCTACCAGAATTCACCCAGTTGTTTCAAGGTTCTGCATTATCCCGAGGTATCCCGGTGGAGTGCCTATTTCTGGTGCTTAGCTAGGACATATCCACTAGAAATGGAGGTGTTATATGGTTATGGGAAAATCATGGGAATATATATATATATGGATATATATGGGGATACCCGGCCT